ACATCAAATTCCTATTGCCTCAAATCTAAGCGCATCAGTGGGAAGTATTTGTACTTATTTTTTGAGATGGGAGGGAAGTGGGGGGGGTGGAAGGTTGGCGGAACAATAGCAGCCCTGACTCACTCTCATCCTCATTCTGTTTATTCCCCTTATAATGTTCACATAGGTTTTTATTTTCCTGTCTCATCTTTTTATTAACAGTAGACATTGGCGCGGAAACTAGACCAGATAGTTGGAACTACGAGAAGACGTGTAGTAAGCCGGAAACGGATTTGGTCGGTTAGGGTTAATTGGTTTGTTTATGGAGACAGTTTTTTGTCGAAGTGAAATTGTCAAGGCAGTGTCTTGTAAGCAATGGATGATGGCTTGCGCTGATGATCCCTTTATCGAGTAAAGTATGACTTAAGAAGCTTTCTGTAGCTATTTATTTCTGCCATATACAACCACACGACTTTACTTGGCTACTTTATTGAATATTTATGTGACAAGTTATTGCATAACAATATAACACTCAAATATTTCTTGTAGTTCGAATTCCTCCTGCGAGTGGTGAGTTATTTACTACAAATTCGGACTCTTATAATTGCCTCTAAGACTGTTTTTCATCACTTTTTGTACGCTTTAGCTCCAAAGCCTCTTGTCTTTAGCTCCGTTGCGATATGTAAGTCGGTAGTTTTAGTGTTTATTCGTTTATATTGATGTATCTAATGGCAAATCATCTGGACGAAATGGGTGATTTGCTTTAAAAAACTCCTGTAATATGTTATTTGCTAAAAAATTACCTACTTTTGCTAAAACCTACCTTAATGTTGCAAGCGTAATTGACAGTAATTTGTTAACATTTGCGCATATTTTGGTTTCAGGTTATCTTCTCACTCTTGTGCCAGCTGAAAGTTGGATTGACTGAGTTGAAATACCAAAGTTCCTAATTATTGTGGATTAAATAAAATACCCAACTTTTCATTTTCATTTTTCAATCAACCAGGGATTGTAATGCTGTCAACTTTGAAGTCGTACAAGTCTAGGTTTTTCTTGATGCCGCAATAGGGTATTCTTGCAAAAGAATGGTTTATTAATTGTGCCCGGAGTTTCAAAGTTTCAGAGTTTTGATTCTGTGTCAGGTGATGGAAAAGGAATTTTTAATCTTCTTAATGGAAAGACCCAATCCCATCGAGGTGCAAAGGACACTGTATAGTTAAATTTTTAAGTTGAGTAATCAAGAACGGCGCCGATTCCAAAAGTCTGCCCAGTATAAGGAACCAGTTTCGTAAGATTCCATTAATCCTGCCATTTACTCGTGCTGTCTCAGTGCTGTATCCGAAAGGCTTAATTGCTTCACGAAAACCGCAGTCGTTCTAGCACCCAAAATCGTGGAAAATAGGGTAGAGCTCATAGTATTCGGCGCTGTAGCCGAATGGTGGGAGACTGACGAAAAATGAATTTTGCTGACAGTAAGCATAAAATGGCCACCAAACTGTTAGGGATGGCCTTAAGCAAATGCAATTTGCTAAAAGTTTTCCTTTATTTTTAGTCAAGCAAAGAATTGTTAAAAAGTTGTAATTTTACCCTGACAATGGAAGAATCAAATGAAGTCGACTACGCCTGGTACCGCACTACCATATACTCGAGGTATTGTTGGGTGTGTGGGGGCATTTGTGTGTACGTGAAGAAATACGAGTGAGATTGCGTAGCTCTCATGGGTATAAAAACTCGTCTATTTGAGTGCAATTGACACTTGCTTGGAGTTGGCTCACAAACGGTATGTACTTAGCACTATTCCTTTAAGTAAAATTAGGCTGCCACTGTGACTCTCTTCGAAGTCAATGCGTAGCTGTAGATTCACAGCTCCGCAGGAAGTCGATTCAAGCATTCATTCCAAAACGCCACTTACATTGTGATTATTTTAGCCAAAATTTCGAAACTGCATTTCAAGAGTATTATTTTAATGAGTCAGTTACGCAAAACAAATAGCCAAAAAATTCGCTTACTAATTTTTTTTTCAGCTATATTCGGTTTACCTAGTCAATGCTGCTGAAACAAGTCATTTTCTTCCTTGTGGTGTACATAGCGACTTCAAGTAAGATCCTCGTTTTTAACCGCGTTTTGCTTCAATATCAAAAAAAAACGTTTTCAAATAATTCTGCGTAAAATTCTGCCAGAATCAGTTTCGCACTGAAGCATAGAATTAAAAACTCTTATCTGTCCTTTTCATCAACGAGATGGAAATAACGTTTGAATACTTGAATCTTTTATCATTTCCCATTTTAGTATCTGCCTACAAAACATTGCCTGGAGATATACGAGTTGTCAAAGGAAAAGTAAATACAGCCTTCAATTATCAAACGTCCCTCCCTGGCAAATACCTGGTAAATACATTTTCCTGCCTTACATGAAATTTCACGAAGATTGCGGTTTAGTTTCACGTATCGAAAAATAAAGCCAAAACCATCAATAAGCAACTGAATGCGGCTTGACAATAAATACCATCGGTTCTCCCCCTCCTCCTCCTCCCAGATCCTAGTTGTGTTGACTTAGAGTAGTGACGTCTGTGGTTAGTACTAAAACAATCCGCTCATTTGTTTTTTTTTTTCAGTATTTGACTTCCGGTATCCAAAATCTCACTCTTCAAAATGGGCAGTGTTCGACACCACTTTTCACGTGCATCTACAGTGAAGGTATGCCAATTACTATGGCCCCTTATTGAATTGAAAAGGAAGTGAATGAGATCAAAAATAGGCCTAATTTGAATCATCATTACAGTTGATAGCACACAGACGGATGTGAAGATGAGTGGCCACATGACCTACGGTCTGAAATGGGTGACCTTCATGGGAGGACCCAACCAAGTTCCTATAAGTATAGTCTTTTTCACGGACGACATTTGGGACGATTTAGCTTCAGGTAAGGGAGACCTTTTCAATAAGTCTTTTGCGTCTTTTGCTATGCGTAACAATAATTAAAAGACCTAAGCGTGATTTTCTTTTCTACAAACATGAGAGGCCACACCAAACACCAAATCACTTGTTCATTTAAAAGGTTTGACTTAAAATTAATAGCGCAATGGTTGTGTGACTGTAAGTGCTTAAAAAACTAGGGGTTTTGGCAATACTGTCTTTATTCATTAAGTGACTCCTAATATGTATTTGCCAAAATATAACGTGGGTCTATTCTAAGGTAATGATTAGTTCATTTTAATCAAAGACGCATAAACAAGTAGGGAACATTAATGTTGTGATGGAATTACCAATTTGTTGCTTAACTTGAGGTACTTTTAATTTTTCTACTAAATTCATCTACAGAATAATAGACGACGGTGTTTGCTGTGATGCGGTGGAACCTACCTGCCAAGACCATTGTTTCCATTGCCTTTTTAGGTTCTATTCAACCGCAGTACTCAATCCCCCTAATTGTTCGAGCTAAGGGGCTAACTTCAGTAACGCTTACGTGTTCCATATTTGCAACGAATCCTAAGGTAATTCCTAACATTCCGATTGGCCCGACACTAGAAAGACACTTAAGTAGTTTCAATTAAATGCAAACACATTTACTCTGATCTAGAGGATAATGGCTTATTTAATAGTAAAAAGCAAACTTAAATCGTAGTCAATAGTACGCAAATCTATTTTTTGTAGTATAATCTATACACTGGGGTGAACAATGTGCTGTACTACTCCGTCAAACCGGTAAAGGACGAAACGAAAAACCACACACAAATACTGAATCTTGGTAGGTTTTAAATGTGCGCTGAATTTCAGCCTTTCTTGTGAGGAAACACTGTACACCACTCATAATTATACGCAGAATACTATTTTTGGAAATTCTTCCTAGAAATGCGAAACATCATAATGCACAAAGTCATAACACTGACTGTCAAAAGGAAGGACGACGTAGACTTTTACAGCTGCAATGTCAATGGCTACTGGCTGACTCACACAATTGATTGGAGTGAGTTTGACAGAAAAATTTTTCATCCTCAAACCTGCCATTTCACAGTTTACACTTGCTAATGCAAATGCATAATTTAAAACATTTTAGCTCAATCTGGAGTTGGTAAGTAGTTGCTGAATGCCCGGTGGTTTCCTTACGTTGGCGACAGATGACGGCTACACAAATGAATAATATTAAAACATAGGTGTAGTAAAGCAATTAAATGGTGCTATAACAGACAAATGCATTAAGTAATTGAAAAAGCCAAACAAAATGATGGAATAATACGTATTTTAGCTGAAGTCAAAGCAACCCTAATTTCACTCATTGGTGAGTTAATCGTGTTTTAAATAAAGTAGCGTCTTATTTCCCACTCTGACCGACTCACTTGTTTTGTTCCCCCAGCTGTCCTTCTGTACGCCGGCGTGTGAGGAGTCAAAGGAAGCGGTCAAATATGACAAAGTTCTGGGATTTGTTTATTCCAAACCTCTTTTATTTTTACCAATCTCTGTAGCCAGAATGTACATTGATTTATTATATTTTATTCTACAAATTCAGACAAATTAAATGGGGATTGATTAAGGTGTTCCCTGATTGTTTTACATCGCCACTTTGAGTATTTAAATTGCAGCCACATTTAAGAGCAAAAAGTTGGTGAAATGCTCTTGGGAATCTAATACACTTTTGTAAATTCTCGCAAGGCAAGATGTCCCTGTGTACTTGAACTAATTAATTAGGTTTCTTGAGCTTAATCACACAATCAAGTCATATTTTTACCTTTTTAAAATAATGTTCTGTTTGGTTTATTTCTGATTATTAGAGCCTAGTAGATACAAACTTATATATTCTAAACTAACCAGATGCATGATGAGACGGTATTTGTGTGAAAAACTTGAGAAATAAACATTTATCGCCAAAAGATCTTTCGGAAGTGTGAAATTGGTACCTATGGCCTTCAGTTATTTTAAGTTATGAGATGGTTAGGCCTACCTGTCTTATAACCTGAATTCTAAGTCGTTCCAAATTATGTGGCTAGTATTCGATCGCCTAGTAGACTGAGTTCCCTTTGTCGACATTAAGATACTATAGTTCAGAGTCGAACAAATATCAAGGGTTTTGGGAATTTGGAATATACTGTGGTGTAATCGGGAAATTCTTCATCAAATGTTAGAGTTGTGTGACGTCCGAGTCTACTCTAAAGTCGCAAAAACCGAAGCACGGAAAAGCCAGAAGGATACTACCATCTCTGGATGGCTATGCAGCGGAGCGAAGGCAGAACCTGCGGAGACTGATTTGCTCGCGCAGTTCAACACACGATTAAATAAAAGATTGGGTAACGACATCATTCCCAATTTTCAAATCCTATCAACTTGGAAGCTGTGGATTACCAAGGTGTGGCTTGAAGGTAAGCTGCACGGCCTCGTGTGAAGGGGTTCATTATTCCCTTTACAATCAGGAAAATTGCCATTTTTTCCAAAAACATAAGTGAAGTTAAATTTAGTCCATTGTTACGGAGCGTGTCCGTGGGTGATTATTGCGCCAAAATGCGTGTTTAGCGATAGTCCGCTTTCCAAACTGTCCCAGTATTTGAGGCTTCACTTCAATAAACAAAAGCAATCCAAGTAGATTTGTGAGTAAATTTGTTGCTTTTTAAGATTTAAAATACATTATTCTCGTCAGAAGGAAAGGTTGTGTCACTTGGCAAGAAGCCATTTGAGATTCGCAAAATATGTGATCGGAGTGACGAGAATGTGACGTAGTTTGCGAGTAGGCAAGCCAGCGTATAAAAGCTCTTCTTCAGACCATTTCTCAACCACAAGGGTAGAGTTTTTCGTCAGCGCTCCGTAAGTGGTGTGCATTTAGTTAACGCATGCGTCTCTTAACTCACTTCATCCTGTCATTTACACATGCTACTCAATTGCCCAATTGTGATGGCCAGAAATATTACCTGTTTATTCATGAAGTATGAAATACAAAGATCGGTAATCTAAAATTATTTGTTCCTCAAAAGAACTAAAAATGTAAATGTCGTTACACCATTTTCTAGCTTGAACTGATGACATTCCCAAAATCAGCTCTGATTCTCGTTGCATTTACCATCACCAGTTGCGGTAAGTACGCAGATCTCCCAGCTGTGTGGGATGGTGCCCTACACAATTTTATGTTCTTATAAATGTTCCAAACTAACTGCCATCGTCTGACAACTGGTTTCTATTAACCAAAAACGCATTTTATTTTGTTAAAGTGGGCATCTACACAACATTGCCGGGTGATAAACGTGTTGTAAAAGCCAAAGAAAATGAGAACTTTGATTACAAGACCACTCTTCCTGGAACATATACCGTAAGTTGCTAATAAATGGGTTATTTGCGAGTAGAATATCAAAAGTGGGGAAATGATTTATAATTTTTTAGTACCTTTTAGCTGATTCTTCCAACATAACATTAAAGAATGGAGACTGTTCCTCTCCTCTGTTTCAATGCACCTACGTACAAAGTAGGTAGGTGTTTTCCACTTCATCTACGAATATTTTGACAAAATCTCCTAATATTGGTTATTTGCCAACCTCTAGGCTCTTCCGATATGATGACAGTGACACTGAAGGGTAAAATGTCAAGTGAATTGAAGTGGGTAATATTTATGGGGCCTAAGAATATAGTTCCAATCACCGTTGTGTTCTTTGTAAACAATACATGGAACGATTTGACCATCGGTAAGAGTGCTTTAAATTAACATTTCAAACCTATTTTTTTCTCAAAGTTCTCATCAGCAAAGCATCTTGTAGTATTTTATTGTCTGTCAACTTAAACCTGACGGAAATCAAAGGAACTATGCCGATGACATTGCTTTGAAAGTACTCGCTGTAAATGACTCATAAAGGGCAGTGGTTTATTTGAAGTAGGCATAGAATAATACTATAAGGAATAAATTCAAATAATTCATACGCTTGTTTATTATTCCTTGAATTTAGGCTCAATTCAACCGCAATATTCAGTGCCATTGATAGTTCAGGCAAAGAACAGTCATACGGTGACGATCACATGTTCCATCTTCAGCACAACACCTTTGGTCAGTTCTCAACTACTTTATAAAATTGGTCCAATGATTATTTGCATGTTAAATGTTTCTTCATTCTTTTAATCACTTTTGCTGCAAATTGAAATTTTGCCAGATTAAAACGAAATTCACCTACTTACAAAGCAGTTTCAGTAGAATATTTTAGGGTTAAAAATTTCCCCCTCTCCTATTTAGGCAACTCTATATACTGGTTTAAAAATGGAAAGTTATTATCAGTTGCGGTTATTTGCACCACCAATTGATAACACTTCACATCATCCACAAATACTAAATTTGGGTGAGTCTGTCTGTGTATGGTCGGAATGACATTTTACATTCCATTTAAAAACGTGAAATGTGGTGCCTTTAGAGGTAAGAGACATTCTCCTGCACAAGGTCTTAACGCTGACTGTGAGGCGGAAGGAGGCAATCGACTTTTACACCTGCAAAGTGGGTAGAAAGTACCTCACCCACACAATTGACTGGAGTAAGTTGAAGCCTTGGCAATTTGTCTGTAACCGCATTGATGCTCAAGTGTCAAACTTTTAACAAATTTTTACGTTCTCCTCCTGCAGCATCTACGGCAAGTAAGTGGACATGGTGTTCTTGCCCCTATGCCATTCTCTAAAAGTCTGATAACTAAAGATACTATTTCGGCATCAAGAATGTGCTGCATATATTTTTTCCCCATTCTGATTTAGATTGCTTCAAAGTCTATGCTACAGTTCTAATAGGTAAGTGATTTGAGGGAAATCTATTTTCTTCTTATCCCATGAATCCACTTCGACTTCATACTTACGCTGAAATGTTTGTTGCAGCCTGTTTGCTACACATCGGATATTAGAAACATCACAGCCCTCCAAAAAATATCAAATATTACTTGTTGCTTTTGATATTTGGAGTAAAATGTACCAACAATTTGCAATGTCTTCTTTGAAGAGGTGTGCTAAGGAACTATATCAAAGAAATAGGCAACTACGAAGTTGTAAGATGTCAAAACTAATGCAACTCCGCGCCTACAACTGGCCGTCTACAACCGCTCAGGGATGCATCGATAAAGAAAACTTATTAAAAATAATTACGAGTACAACACTTTGTCCCAGGAAGGCAAAACAAACTTCCAGCCTATTTCAAATAACAATTGCGCAAGTACTGCCAGTAAAGAGAGATAATAAAAAATATGCGTACCCTCAGAGGAAGACAGAAAATAAGAAGGACCTGTTATTTACATCACTCCCACAAAATAGTGCCAAACTTCGAAAAGGGCAGTTTTAAAATGGAATTCGTTAGGTGTGGCAATTTCCTATGTTGTGATGTGTAGTGTTATTGTGAGAAGATAGTATTTCTGTTCTGTTTTAAAATAGATTTGAATGATAATGACT